GTCAAACAAGAGCCTTAGGTTTAAAGGCTTGCATGAAGTCCATAAGTAAATATCCTTCCCCACTGAAGTTAAGTTAGCTCAACCTGTCCTAAAATAGTAATAGGGTTCTAAGAATCTCATATCACCGATCTTTCTCAAAGGCTTTATTTTAGCACGACAACCGGCTTACCACCAAAACATACCGAAAGTCGAATCTCAATGAGCGTAGCCTCGAGTATCAACCAACTTTAGAATGCATCAATGTCGGATATCTCACTACTTTCTAATTGTTAAGATAGGTCAATTAAGGTTCTAAAAGTAAGTTAGTGTTAATGACACCACGCGAAAGCCTAATGTTATTCTTGACTGACTCGAGGAACATCAGTACAAACCAAAGTGTCTCACTAATTGTAGCTATCACGTTATCCATATCAGTCTACGCCGTACAATCTTTATGATTTATTGCTACTTACCTAAAGAATCACTAGATCCGGGTGTAGCATCTTTCCCACAAGTAATAACACCCAAACAAGTCCTTAAGTTTAAAGCAAACAACTTAAACAATTTAAAGCAAGTAAAAGTGATCTAAACTCTAAGGTCACTCCTCTTTTTTAAGTAGTCCCGGAAGAGTCGCTAGTTCTGTAATACGGTGGGAAAACTGAATTTTTTGTTATATCGCAAATGTTGCGGTTAGCAAGAGTCGCCATCGACTTTTCTTTTATCTAATATTTAGAAAAGGTGAAAAGAACAGGAAAGACCTTTGGTAGATTTTGAGTTAGGGGGATAAGTTATGAAAAGGGAAGGTATTAGCACCCTTTTCATATGTAGTTATCTATGGGCTCTTAATTGCTTATCTCACTTTTTAAACTTAATTTGTGTGTGTTTGATTTGTTTGAAAATATTTTTAAATACCAATGTAAGACAGAATTTGTAATAATTCTTGTATCAGTCCTCAAGAATGTACACAAAGTGTTTTTGAAAATATTTGTTTTGAAAGTGTAGTGTGAAAACTTTTTTGTTTGTGAGCAAGCATTTAAGAGTCCTACCCACTAAGTATGGTCTTTCTTGTTGTTTTCCTTCTCCTTTGGAGATATTATTATCCATACCATTAGTTTGTAGGTAATCCTATCTATTGGATGTGAAGGGACAAGCGCAGGGTCATCGTATGATCATCTTATGCAACATGTAAGGATATTTTAGCAATTGTATCAGAGGGACTATCATCATTTTGCTCGTAGGGTCATCAAATGGACTAGATCATTTTGTAGGCAACTCGAAAGGTCATCGAGGGGTTATGATCTTTACTCGAAAGGGACCATGATGATATTGTTGAATCGAGGGTCTTTTGCTAAAGTATCCCCACTTTCGAGGGATATGACCATGTTTGTAAGGCAATAAAAGAGGTTACCCTAGAGGTGAAGTGTGAAAGTGTGTATTTTCAATTATCATATCTTGAATTAGGGTTTTCTAGATTTGCTTTTAGTCTTTCCATGCAAACCCTAATTACTAACAGTTAAAGATATAATGTACGGAATATAAAATGCGGAAAATTAAACCTAAGTTATTACATCCTGTAAGCAGTTACATAATTAGAAAAATGCGGGAATGTAAATCTACGCTATTACATTTGAGAGTGCAAACCTATACATTTGTTATAGGAATTTAAATAGCAAAAATAAATAAGAAAAAGAATGTTAGAAAAAATGTTTTAATGACCTAAAGTTCTAAGTTAATGTTTTTGGTGTTTTTTGTAGAAAATAATTTAAGTTAATAATTAATAAAAACCTAATTATTTCTATCTAATTAACCTAATTAATTAATAAATAAAAATGTATCAAAATTTAATTACTAACTAAAAAAACTGTAATCCTAATTTGTTATAGTTTTAAAAAAAATTTAAGGTTAATGGTTAATTAGAAAGGAACTAATTTAAGAAAATGGAAAAGAAATTAGGTTTAGAAAATAAGGAAAACAAAAATGCTTGGGGTGGGAGTTGAACCCACGCCCTTGAGGTCACAATTCTGCCCTTCTACCACTGCGCCATGATGTTATTTGTGATATGGAATAGGAATGAATCAATCTATTATAAACTTGCGCGATATCCTGAAAAACAAAAGAAATAGACAAAAGTCGTGATCAAACTTGTGCCCTTTACAATACCAGTCACGCTTCTTACCATCAGGCCAATTGTTGTTTCAGATTAGTATAATCATCATCGTTCAATATAACATAAATTGAAATAAAAAATCAAAGTCAAACAAAATTGAATATGCGCGTTGTGGCGGGGACACTTTTTTTTTTAATGGACCAATCATATTAAGAGGATTGGCCATGCAGCTTCTGAACGGAGTCAAACGAATTCAAAGACGTCTGAGTCAAACTTCGACCGTCTTCTCCGGCAAGCTCAAATGCCAAACCTACAAAAATGGAAGATTCGAAGCAAACCAAAAGGCCTATCCAATACAAAATTGCATCCTGAACTCGAATCTGGGCTCAAAACAAGTAAAAGGTTAGCGTATCATGATATTCGAACACAAACTCAGATCATGCCCTAACAACGTGTTTTATTGTTCATGCATGAAAGCTTGCAAATGATGATTCTAAACAAGTCTAAACATCATTATGAACAGGTATATGTGCATAGAATCAATCAATAATGCATGAATTATGAGTTTGAGATTGAAGAAGATTATCAAACCGGTGATGTTGAGGAGGAGAGTTTTGGCATGCTTCAAGCTTCAGATAATGATTGGGATGAACTCCTGGGAACCTCAGGAGGCTGGTGGAATGCTTGAAACAGATTGATAAAGGTTGGAGATAAGGGTTTGAGTTTTCCCTAATTCTTGAAAAATTTGAGATTTTTAGGGTTTGATCTTGAGACAGCTTTGCGTGTTTTTCTTGGTCTGAAGGTGTTGAGTATATATAGAGGAGTGATTTAGGTCAAGTGGTGGGCTTAGACATCTCATGAAATCGTATCTTTTATTTTGTTTGAAAATAAGTTTAAATCTTCCAAAACCAATAAAGATTTGTTTCAAACATAGACCACACGATTTCTTCAGCTTCAAGATAGATTTTGGGCCTCCCATTTGATCAAAACATGATTCCACACGCCTAAGTCTAATGCTTTCATATTTTATTTGATTTAATTTGCATTTAAATGAATAAAATCCAAATAAAATAAATAAAAATCATTAAAAAAAATATGTGAATGGATTTAAGGGTCCTTTATGAGGTCATGAACACGTTTGGACCTAAAAACTTAGGCCCATTAGCCCAAAAATTCAAGTTTGTTCAATTTGAACTTCATGCATTTTCTCAAATTGCTCAACTTGCACCAATCATAACTCTCTGATTTTTTGTCATATGAAGATGATCTTGGACTTTTTGGAAACCTCAAGATATCTCCTTCAACTTTCAAGTTGGTAATTTTTCCACTTGAAGTCTTTATCTTCATGTAAATTTCTTTTAAAAAAGATGTCTTTTTGTTGACTTTTAAAATGACCTGTAAAGTTTTGGCTCATATCTCTCAAATGAAGCATTTTTGGCCTTGAGCTTAGAGAGGCAAAACTGTATAGAATTGAATTTCCTTCAAGTTGAGCTTTGTTCTAGGAATTTCATATGAAGTATGTGAAAGTTATGCTTGGTCAAAGTTCAGTTGACTTCTCCTTAAGAAAATCCTAATTTAGTAACTTTTAACTTTTGATGAATCTTGAGTTTTCTTGATGAATCATGATCAACCCTTGATCAAATGATGAATTTGACTTCAAAATATTGATGTTGACCAAAAATCTTGAAGTTTGACTCTAGATTGGTCAAAGTTGACTTTTTGTCAAATAAAGTTGATTTTCAATCATTTGACTAATTGATTGAGCAAACTTGTGATGTAAGGCTTGAAATTTGATATGAAGATTCTTTGAAGCATGTGGGATACCATGAAGTCCATTTAAGGCATTAGAAGTCCAATTTCCTTTGAGAGAAGCAAAACCCTAGTTGTAGGTCCATTGCTTAGGAGGATAGTCCATCTGATCAATCTTTAATAAGTCTTGAGCAATTGAGACCTTCATGAGCATGAGGAGGTATCTTAAATCAATTTGTCTCAAAGATGAGAGGGAAAATTTTGGGGTACAACATTCTCCAAATAAGAGTTTGTGTACACTGTGATGCAAAGTTCCTCGTTTAATCAATTGGTTTGCTTGTAGTACAAGATGTCCTCATTGGATTTCGTTCAGGCATCTTAAATCTAGGCATGAATTTCTTATGGCACGTGAGGAGTTCATGTGGCTCACTATCATTTAAGGTGTGATTCAATTGGTTAATTGGATTACAAGGCATTGTGGCATGGCATTTTTTTATTCTATCTTTTCAAAGTGTTCAATTCAAGATCTCTTTTTGAGTTATAAGGCAAAAATCATGGTTTGTGCAAGCAATGGATTCATTTTTCTGTTGATACATCACGCCAAGATTTTGTATGACAAGATCATTTCAAGCACGTAATTGAATTTCATTTGTTGTGGAAATAGGAAGGGTATATACTGATTCAAACATCATGGCATTCATCATTCAAATATTCTTGCAAGATATAAGTCATGACATAAGAGATGAACTTATGGATTCATTGTGATCAAGTCACTATTGTGTTTGATTGCTTGTATTGCAAGTTCACTTAGATTTGGGAATTGAAATTAGGTTTTCTTCAAGAAGCTAGCATGGTTTTCAAGATTCATCATCAAAGGTTTTCACCAAGATTCATTGCAAGATTAAGATCCATTCAAGTCTTTAACATGTCATTCAAATGTCATGGTCCATAAAAAAATTATTATTACAAGCCAAGGATGTGTTTAATTACATGTTGCAACATTACAAGGATAGTTCATCAGTGACAAGGCGTCATTCAAAACATTCCAATTACACTCCATAAATCGAGAAAACATTGCAATAGAAACAAGTTACATGAGGTTCTTATCCTAATGCTATGTTACTTTGCCAATCTTCATCACTTTGCCTCACATCCTCAATTTTCTTCATTTAGCCTTGCCTTGCAATTTATCTTCAAGACTCGCCTTGCTAATGGACTTCAATTCCATGCCATGTTTGAAAGCTAATCCAGCTTGTACCTGTTCTATTACACCAGACGTGCAAACTTAGAAAAATCAGAAACAAATTCTTGCTTGACCAAAACCTGCTGCGCAACAAGCAAAACAAAAAGGGCCAGCTCCTAATTGAAGTAACCCAGATCAGAATAAAAAGAGAATTGTATAGAATTAAAAGGACAATATAAGAGCTCAGCGTCTATTTTCATCTCACCATTAAAATCTCTAACTGATTTACCAAACCAAGGGCTCAGATTGAATCATCTGTAACAAACTTATTCTTCACAGTAGGAGGGATTTCATTCAGTTACGATTCATTTACCCAAAATCAGAATAACAAATCATTCAGAAAGAATCACGATTTCAGAGAGAGAGAAAATCTAAAACTCAAAAAGTGCTATCTGTTCTCTACACGATCTTTATTCACGAAAGAAAACTCACAGAGAATCATTCACAAAAACTCACCATAGAATCTGAAGACTCTCTCAATCTTGAAGCCTCTGCATAATCTCCATCGGTTCTGCACTTCAACCTTCATCTTCTCAGAACCTTCATCTTAAGAGGGAATTGTTTGAAACAAGGCACATAGTCAAAGTTACGGATGTGAAACGGACGAGGTTCTCCGCTGTTGAAGTTTGAGCGCCGACCGTTTTAGAGAGGCCATGGCGGCGGCGAGTTTGGTTGAACGAGAACAAAAGCAAGATAGGAGAGACGGAATCACTGAGAGGAGTTGATGACGGAGGCGAGCGGAGCTTCGACATAGGAGGTTTATGTATGAACGGAGGAGAGAGTAGAAGAATCGCACCGCCGTTAGAAAGAGAGAGAAGAGAACTCGAAATCCTCGTGTGAAGCCCAACCGTCTCAATTTCTGAAACCCCATCCACTGTATCCAAACGCCTGCGATTCTCCTCTTTTCCATTTTATTATTCTTTTTAATTTTGTCATTTAATTTGAATAATAATTTAAAAAAAATCCGAATTGGGTTGTATTGAGGAATTGTTGGGCAGAATTTCAACCCCTTAGGTCTATTAGCATTTTTTTTTTGGGATAGTTAATGGCCTTGTAAATAAAAGCAGTTTTGTGGGCTCAAAATTTGAGTGGCCTTAGCACCCAGATTTCCACTGCTGGGTTATACCTTTACCTACAGTTGTGCACCCTCTTTTTGTTTCATTAATGTTCTCTAAGTTTCTTACTTGTTTCAATAATTTTTGGTCAATTGTTTTGAGTGATATTATTGAGCAAAAGACACTTGAGTGAGGAGTTTTAAGAAGTCTCGAAGCTAGTTAAAAGCTTAAGTTTCATCAAGGAATTTCAAGGAGACTTTTGGTAGAGTTTCTTTATAGCTTGCGCGGTTTTGAAGAGACAACAGACTTTCTCTGTTATGTACCGCTCGAATCTCAACTTTTTTTTGTTACATCATTTTTAATTAATCTTGCAATGAGAAGTAGGATAGAGATGCATGACTGAAAGTCCTACTGTCATAGGCTATGTGTTCTGTGTAGCTAGGAATTAATTTGTGATAATACAGGTTGAACCTCTGAAGCATGATGTTAATGTGTGATAAATATTCACCTTTCTATTTGATCCAGGTTCATTAATTATTGTGATACATGTTCACCTTTCTGTTTGATTCAGATTCATAATTGTTGTGATACATGTTCACTTTCTTTTGATTCATGTCCAATGCTTATTGTGATGCTTGTTTACTTTCTACTTGGATTCATGTTCAATACTTGTTGTAATACTTGTTCACTTTCATTTTGATGCATGTTCAATACTTGTTGTGATACATGTTCATTTTCTTTTTTATGCAAGTTCAATATTTATTGTGATGCTGTTGGCTCCTAAATTCGACACCTTTGTTTTGATTGATGTCAGCCATTAAAAGCTGAAAGATGCTTTCGACTGGCTAAGTCTGTCGAAGTGCCCGTCGAAAGATGGCAAAATACTTAGAAGATTTCTTCCAAGGAAGAAGGTTGATTGCCTTCGACGTCGAAGGAGTTTCTCGTCGAAGATGTCTCTTGACGAAAGTGTTCGATGGTTCAGAATGGAGCAGTTTGAAATTCAAGCGTTTGGAGGGAAAACGGTTTCCAGCAGTTACCACGTGCAAACGTGCAAGGATCTGGAGCGTCGAGCATGGAGAACGTGCCAAGTGGATTGATCTCGAAGCAGTGTAACTGCCCGACGGTTACTTGGGATGTTTTAGTATAAATAGGAGTAGACATGTAGTTTCTCGCGTGTGTTCACAATTCTATACAAAGTCACTCATTTAGATTCGAGTACCCAGCGTGTAAGAAAGAATTGTTGAGAAATGTATGTGTGAAACACCAATTTTATCAATTAAAGTCATTTACTTTCCCAGAATTTTACTTGCTTTTCTCTTTACATTTCCTGTCGAACCTTTACTTTAAAGCCTTGTTTATTTTACCAAGTCTTTCCTTTATGCAATTTATTTACCTTGGGTTTTGGTAAACAACCGCTGATCCTCCAAATGGTTACTTATTTGGTTACTCGCAGGATCAATCAGATTGATCCTATGGACATAGGTTGATTTTGAAGTTTGATTAAGTTGGATAAGGCTTTTAAATAAAAGGTTTCAAGTAAATTGCATAAAGGAAAGACTTGGTAAAATAAACAAGGCTTTAAAGTAAAGGTTCGACAGGAAATGTAAAGAGAAAAGCAAGTAAAATTCTGGGAAAGTAAATGACTTTAATTGATAAAATTGGTGTTTCACACATACATTTCTCAACAATTCTTTCTCACACGCTGGGTACTCGAATCTAAATGAGTGACTTGAAGATAGTCCACAATAGGTTTTCTCCAATCTTGCTCTGACAAATTATCAATGAACGAAATCTCGAAGTTACTGTGATCAGCATATCCTAGCCTCGTCGATTCCAAGTCTGATGGTGATAGACAAGTTGCTTTTATCTTTTCTCGAACTTCGATTGCTCTTTGTAATTTCGTTTTTGAAATCTTATACCCAGATGCAATTTGTGCCAAGTCATTGGCTATTTGATTTTCGACTCTGGGTATGTGTCGAATATTGATCGTTTCAAATTGTTTCAATAAACGATTTGCTATCACAAAGTACATAATGAGATTCTCCCTTATGCATTTATATTCCTTTGTGACTTGCTTGATGACTAACTCTGAGTCTCCCATTATTTCGACTCGAGTTGCCCCCAATTCCAACAATATCTCAAGGCCAGTAATTAGAGCTTCATACTCAGCCTCATTGTTCGAACAAGAACCTGCTATTTTGTACTTGAATGTTGTTGGAATTTTATCTGGAGAAATAATCAAGACTCCTACTCCTGTTCCATCTTTATGGCTGGAACCATCGAAGTAGAATTTCCAAGGTTCTATCTCCACATAATTAATATCCTCGACTTGAATTGAGTGGTCGACTATGAAGTCTGCAACCACTTGTCCTTTTACTGCCTTAAGAGGCATAAAGGTTAAGGAGTATTCAGTTAATGCTAATGCCCACTTGCCAATTCGACTATGCAAGATAGGTTTCGACAACATATATTTGAAAACATCAAAATGAGACGAAACATAAACATCAACTGGTTTTATATATTGCTTGAGTTTTGTACAAGAAAAATACAGACATAGACACAATTTTTCAACTTCGCTATATCTAGTTTCTGCATCATTCAAAACTCGACTGAGATAGTAAATGGGTCTTTCGACTCCATTCTCATCCTCTTGGGCTAACATACTTCCCAGAGTTTTGTCAGATGCAGCTATGTACAATCTCATACTCCTATTGCTACAAGGAGGCACCAAAATAGGTGGCTTAGTGAGGTACCCTTTGATTTTGTCGAAGGCTTCTTGTTGCTCCTGCCCCCATTCGAACCCCTCTTTATTCAGTCGAAGTAAGGGTGAAAAGGCCTGAGCTTTCCCACTTAGATTAGATATAAACCTCCTTAAGAAATTTATCTTGCCTAAGAGAGATTGCAATTCCTTCTTATTCGATGGCGCTTTCGCTTCCAGAATTGCCTTCGTCTTGTTCTGGTTGATTTCGATTCCTTTCTTGTGGACAACGAAGCCCAAGAAATCTCCAGCTTTCACACAGAACGCACACTTCAAAGGGTTCATCTTCAGACCATGTTCTCTCATTCTTTCGAATGATTGTCGAAGGTGGTCAATATGGTTCTTCCTGGAAACAGATTTTATAACAATATCATCAATATATACTTGCATAAAAGTATTAATAAAATCATGGAAGATAGTATTCATTGCTCGCTGGTACGTTGCCCCAGCGTTTTTTAGGCCAAAAGGCATCACTACCCATTCGTAAGTGCCTAAGGCCCCAGGGCATCGAAAAGCTGTTTTCGACACATCCTCTTCAGCAATGAATATTTGATTATATCCTGAATAACCATCGAGCATACTCAGGTATTCATAACCAGCGGCAGAGTCGACTAGCATTTCCGCCACAGGCATAGGATATTCATCTTTGGGGGTGGCAGCATTCAAATCTCTGAAATCTATGCACACCCTTAATGTACCATTTTTCTTAATTACTGGCACAATATTTGCAATCCATTCGACATACCTTGTAACACGGATGAATTTGCATTTCAGAAGTCTTTCGACCTCCGTTTTGATCTTCGACAGTATTTCTGGAGCGAAGCGCCTTGGATTTTGCTTGATTGGCTTCTTTCCAGGTTTGATTGGCAACTGAAGTTCTACCAATCCTCTGTCGAGACCAGGCATTTCGTCATAATCCCATGCAAAACAGTCTTTAAACTCTTTCAGCAATTGGATTACTTCCAACCTAAGTTCTGGATCAATTTTGGCGCTGATGTAAGTTGGCCTTTTCTCTGATCCTTCGCCTAAGTTGATTTCTTCTAAAGGGTCTTGTGCTAACATTTTAATGTTGTTCGCCAAGGGGTCCTTTTCGAAGCCCAAAGGCTCATCGTCATAGATGGCGTCGAGCCTCTGTTCCTGCATTTCTTCTGGCATGATATCAGGAGGTTTTGGATCGAAATCCTTTCCTGGGCCAACAGCAGATAATTGTTGATCATTGGCCTGTGTGGCCATGTACTTTACTTCGGCTTCGAGAGTCGTTATCATCTTGGTTTCGGCTACATAAGCCGAAATTCGCTTCAAAGATTGTGACTCAGTCATTATCACTGAATTCACTTCCCCAACCTGTTGGTTGGATATCAGTTAACCCACTGAAGTCTATGTGGGACAAGTCTTCTCTGTCCCATTGGAAACCATGCTCAGGATGCAGGTATAGGGAACAAAAGGTGTTTGGCGCTGGCGCCATGTCGAAGTCAGGTGTTGGACATGGCCCTATGTGAGCCAAGTTTTTGTCGAAATCTGCCACACCCAAGTGATTCACTTCGCCAAGGTAGTAGCTTTGATTTGCCTCTATGTTTTCGACCATCCCATCTGGACGCCATAGCAGCAGTCTTTGGTGCATCGATGAAGGCACAGCGCCTACACCATGAATCCACTCACGGCCTAACAAAAGGTTGTAGTTAGGTTTGACCGATATGACCATGAACATCGTTGGTCGAAGGATCGACCCAACTTTGATATCTAGCTGGATCACTCCCATGGTGGTCCCAATGCCGCCCTCATAGTTCGACAGGACCATATTGTGAGGTTTAATGTCCTCATCTCTTTTGCCAATCTTCCTTAGCATAGAGTGAGGGATAATATTGATGGTTGCCCCACAATCGACCAATATTTTATTCACAGTAGTTTCTTCGAGCTTAGCCCTTATGAACAAAGGCTTGAGGTGATTCTTCATCGCCTCTGTAGGTGGCTCGAAGAAGCCATTTTGTTCCTCTGTAGTGCCATTGTCCATGACAAAATAGCACACTGGCCTATGTTTGGCCATTTCTTGTTCCACCTCCCAGTCACTTGCTTCGACTTCTACCTGTCGATTGAATTCCCTGGGCAGCACTGAAACAATATTCACCATTATATCCAAAGTATCGTCGGACTCAGCATCGTCTTCGTCTTCGACTTCACTTTGGT